AAAACTGCGTCGCTTCTATAATTGCAAGATCCATGGGCTGCACTACTAGCAATGGTAAAACTAGATTTTATCAAACAAACCCTCTCCAAACATTAATGAAATGTCCTGTGTATTAAGTCAAAATCTGTGAAGGTTGTTTGTATTGTGTACATATACATTATATATGCATCTATTTTAAGTGTAATTGTATGAACTTACCCATCATTCCAGGCATCTTAAGTCTTTGTAATTGCATTGAAGTCTTTTGGTTCTGTGGGAACCCGAGCCAGCGATTAGCGAACGAGGTTGAGTGGAAGAATGGAACTCTGGGGGAAATGACAAAAGATGGTCTACTTTTAAATTTCCCCTTTTGTGGCGCTGGTTCCCTCTCGCCAAGAGCTCTATGGCAACTGCTCAGCCTTGAAACGTCCCATTACAGTTGGAGAATCGTCTTTATTTTGTACCTGTGTTTTATATTGCGTTTCTTTGATTGTCCCTCCTGCTTTAGTCCAAAGTATTCTAGATCTGCCGATTTGTCCCTGTGAGATTGCTGATAGTTGGTGTTACTCTCACGTGTGTGTTTCTGTCAGTGTAAATATCCATGAAGGTGAAATAAAGCAACTTAAATGACTTCAAATGTGTGTATTACTTACATGTAGTGAGTTTGTTGAGCGCCGATCAGAGCTTTTTGCATGTACTATACTGCCATCTGTCGGGTACTGACGATTATGCAAATTTTTGAAGAGGTCATCTCTCATCACAGATAACAAAAATGGTGCATTTCTGCCTCAAGCGAACTGGCGTTCAGTTCTTGCATTAATATGTGCAGGTAATATAAATATAATACAATAAATTGTAATGTTAACACAGTTATGAGCATTGGTCACTACTTAGTTGAGGGCTGATTACCGCTTACTCGTCTAACATCTGCGTATGTTGGTAAAAAAAGTGAGCTTGACGTAAAACTAAAGGGCGGGATGAAGTTTGCATTGCAACTCCAATGGTAACACTATACAATAAGGTCTCGTTAGTTAATGCATTAACTAACAATAACCATTATCTATTACTTAACGTTAGTTAATAAAAGTAACTTTACAGCTGTTTATTGCTATTAGTTCATGTTAGCTCAGGTCCATTAAATAGTGAGAAGGTCCTCACTGCAGAACACGAAATCCAGGGGGAGGAGTTGGATCCAGATACAACTCCGCCCCCTGGATCTCGTGTACTGCAATGAGGTGCTACTGGAAATAATCGGCATTTTTAACAGATACAAATCTTGATTTTACGATTAATAAATGCTTTAGAAGTATTGTGCTGAGTATTGTTGTCAATACTCATGTTGCCAATTGCAAGCATTTTGTGCAACCAAATTTAGTTTTAATGAGATGGAACCCTAATTATGTACATAATTGTATATAATTTATAAATATAATATATACTATAAATATAAAACAAGTAATAATGATTATTTTAATTTATATTAAATAATTTGTTAAAATAATGTATTTTGAATTTTTAAATGATTTGCTTATTCCTTAATTTATCTTTTTTAATGTAATAAAATACAAGTGGTTTGTGAGATTGATAAAAATGATAAAATGTAAATAATGTGTTGACTTTAAATGTTTCAACAAGTAATACAGTTAAGTGTTTAATTTAGTTCTGTGTGATTTCTGTAATGGATTATTTGTACACAAGATCATCACATTATTTAATCATTTCCATTACTTAAAAGAGAAAATGAATCCACCTAGGAATGGGAGGACTGTAATATATTAATATGTAATTGTTGAAATAATAATGGTAACATTTAAAAAAAAACAAGATAAATCAAGAATATAATAAAAGAATATTTGTGAAACAATTGATTATTTTATCTACTGATTTGTAATGTACAACAACAACAAAATCTCATTTAAATATGATAGAAATTATTCACTAATAAACATACTAATTTATTACATCAAATATTGGGGTTTTCAGCTTACTCTTAAACTTGATTAAAACTAGATGAAAAATGTTTTAAATGATTGCATAAAGCTGAATTGGTTATTTCAGATTTTATTTTAGTGATAGTACTATTACGAAGTACTATTACAAGCTGCTTAATTCATAACATTTTTATTAAAATGAAACAAAAATGAATAAAATGCTCCCATGATGGGAATCCCTAAAAGGTTTTATATAGTGCATGAAGCACCTGAAATAAACCTAGTGTCTATATAACCTTTTCTTCTAAGAGTGCACACTTATGGTAAATTCGTATGGATTTGTACAATCTTACCAGTTACTGACTGTTAGGTTAGTGGTGGTGCGAATCGCATTGTGAATTCAAATGAAATCACCTGATAAAATGATTACATTTTCCTACAAGATCAGATTGGAATTATTTTATTTCCCTATGAATGTCACTTTTTATGCATCGGTCACCTTAGAAATAGAGATAATTTGAACGAACAACTTACTCATCTTCACACACGCCCACACAAAATAGAGACAATAGAAGAAAAAAATCTTACACAACATAAAAAAACAAGCTAACTTTAATTATAATCTTAATCTTTAAAACCAACAAGCACCCCTCCCCCCAAACACTCCGATAGACAAATTCAATCTTATTTACAGCATACATGATCCAGATATACAGTATTTATGAATGAACAAATCACAAGTTTCTAAGCAACAACTGGTTATATGCAGTACTTTGAGAGCTACTATTCAAATGCACTCCATAATGATATTTGGTTACGAAATGCTACCAAATTTCAATACATAAGCCATCGAATATCATCCAAGTTGCATCACAATAGTGAAATTTTGTGGGCAAAAAAAGATTTATTATCAATAATGTAGCATGTGTGAAGCACAGCTCGACACTTATTTTAAGCCAAACAGCTTTCTGTTGGTCAACATGCCGAATTCACATGATCGACTTGAACTCATTGTCAAATCTGCATGGGGAAATCTTCCGCCCTGACGGGAAAAAAAAATTTGTGTGGATTCCTGGATTTTGCTTGCAAAAAATTTGCTGAACGCTAGTAAACACGACCACACCTTAACGATCACATTTGCATATTCTTGACAAATTTTCTCTAGCAAAATTCAATAATTTAATTAGGAATTTGCACAGTCTGGAACCTAATGAAAAGGTTTGCCATGCTACGAAATTTTGTTTCCACCACCAAACAATTTAAAAGATAATTCTGACAAATTTGACTTTTTTTCCTTGCAGTTTTTACTTCTTTTCTCAGGACTGAGAGATATAAACTCGTAATTCTGTGAATAAAGATAGAATTGCACGTTTATATCTCGCAATTTTGACTATATAACTCGCGATTACAAGCTTCTATCACAACATTGAGAAAAAAAGTCAGAATTACAAGATTGTGAGATTAAAAAAAAAAATCAGAATTACGAAATTTGAGAAGAAAAAAAAGGTCAGAATTACGAGATGTGAGAAAAAAAATTGAATTACGAGATTGTGAGAAAAAAAGTCAGAATTACGAGATGTGAGAAGAAAAAAGTCAGAATTACGAGACTGAGATTAAAAAGTCAGAATTACTAGACTGAGATTAACAAATAAGAATTACGAGACTGAAATTAACAAATCAGAATTACGAGACTGAGATTAACAAATCAGAATTACGAGATGTGAGAAGAAAAAAGTCAGAATTACGAGATGAGAAAAAAAGTCAGAATTACGAGATGTGAGAAAAAAAGTTTGAATTACGAGATTGTGAGGAAAAAAGTCAGAATTACGAGATGTGAGAAAAAAAAAAGTCAGAATTATAAGATCGTGAGATTAAAAAGCCAGAATTACGAGATGTGAGAAGAAAAAAAAAGGCAGAATTACGAGATGTGAGAAGAAAAAAAGTCAGAATTACGAGATATGAGAAAAAAAGTCAGAATTACGAGATTTTGGGGGGAAAAGTCAGAATTACGAGATTGTGGGGGGAAAAGTCAGAATTACGAGATCGTGAGATTAAAAAGTAAGAATTACGAGATGTGAGAAAAAGTGTCAGAATTGCGAGATTGTGAGATTAAAAAGTCAGAATTACGAGATTGTGAGGGAAAAAGTCAGAATTACGAGATTGTGAGGGAAAAAGTCAGAATTACAAAATTGTGAGATTAAAAAGTCAGAATTACGAGATTGTGAGATTAAAAAGTCAGAATTACGAGATTGTGAGATTAAAAAGTCAGAATTACGAGATTGTGAGATTAAAAAGTCAGAATTACGAGATTGTGAGGGAAAAAGTCCGAATTACGAGATTGTGAGATTAAAAAGTCCGAATTACAAGATGTGAGAAAAAAAAGTCCGAATTGCAAAATTGTGAGATTAAAAAGTCAGAATTACGAGATGTGAGAAGAATAAAAAGTCAGAATTATGAGATGTGAGAAAAATTCGCAATTACCTTTTTTTTTTTTAATTCAGTGGCGGAAACAAGCTTCCATACCGTGCAGATTTTGATCGTTCAATTTGGTCAAAAAAAAAAAAAAAAAGAGCCACAATGACCAACAGAGAGCTGCTTAAAGGTACGGTTCATACGGTTCACAATAGCTAAAATTTTGCAGTTAAAAATGTACGTGATCGATTTGAAAACGTTGCAAAATTGTGAACAGTGTAGCGACTTTTGAAGCACAGCTCACGCAGAAGTCGCTTTCAAAACAAGCCGGTCTCTGTTAGTCAATGCAGAAAGCTTGAACACGAGCGAAATCTGCGCGAGGAACTTTTTCACCCCTTCATGAAACTCCAGATCAGATTTTGACAGCGAAATTTCACAGAGTAATTGTGACTCAACACCATGTACTACATTTCAATGTGGGACCATACAAAGCATGCAGATTTCAAGGAAACAGTTTGGTACTCCCTAATATCGGCGCCATATTAAAATGAATATTCCGGGTTAAATAAATTGAGCTCAATGGACAGCATCAAATACTGTGTTCTGTGTTGATTATCAGAATATTATTTAGACTAAAAAAAACAAAAAAATCGGTGCATTCACTTTTTACAAACCGAATCGAATTTCTGTAACTCTTAACTTGTATCTGTGAATATTCCTTCAATTTGAGTCAATTTTGTTGAATATAAGTGGTTTAAAACATTTGGTAAAAGTGGGGAAAATAATGGACATAACAGATTAAGTGCATTTTAAAAAGCTTGGACAATTATGAGAGCGAGACGGCCATGATCAAATGTGGTGTGGTGTAGAACAATCATGTGGTTAGTCAGTTAAGGCTGTGTTTGTACTAAGAGATATGATGACTCACTCCACATTTACAACTAAAAGCATATTCTTGTCCACAGCTGTTGACTCCTTGCCGCTGAAATGGGGTCGGACTAGTTGTTCTTTAGTAAGGAATGATCACTCCTCAAACAATATTCTCTCATTTAATATCATTAAATTACTATAAATTTTACAATTCTATAGGTACAGTATATAAACAGTCAAAAAAAGTGCACTTGCAGAGGGAAAAAGAAAGAAAAACAACACATCACATAGACGGTTCATAAAACACAGATCAAAACAGGTCTGTCTGTGGCGCATAATGATGATGTCACTGAGGGAACGGGGCACCGTGCCGGTCATCACCTCTAGATCTCCCTGTCATGGGTAACCAGGGCAAACAGCGAACCCAAAATATGTGCACTAGTTCAAGTGTAAGATGAATTATGTTCTTCCGTTCTAATAATATACCTTGTTTCGCTTATTACACGACTCGAACGCAAAAGTAAAAGGGATGAATCTCACAAAGAAATGCCTGGGAGCGGTTTCGTTCGAAAAATCACAAGAAATTATGGTCGCTATTATGATTTTTGTTTTTATGCACTGTAACTTTTATATCAGAAAATTAAGCATTAAAAATCATATTCACGTTACGATAATCAAGCAATAAAAAATATTTTTTCAGGTTTAAAATCAGCATAATTTATTTTAGAATTTACTCATTTATTTTGTCACATTATTGTAAGGAAACTTTGGGAACCAAATGTGCTTAATTGATGCAAAGTCAAAATACCCCAAATCTAATTGATATTGATATGACATGCACGTTCTTTGGGAGATTCACCCATACAGAGCCCAAAATTTTCATTTTAATGATTGATATTTGTACGCATTTTTCATTTTTTTTGGACAAACCCTGATTGAGTCGTAGTCCTACATTTTAATAAACGATTTAGCCATTAGCGGCCCGTGCAAATGACAGGTGAGGTTAAGTCAGACGATAACCTCCGGCCCAAGCCAGAGCGGGGTGGCGGTAAACATCTGATATGCGCCAGATAGTGTTGAGCGAATTAGAAGATCTTCTTTGGGCTTTCAAAAGCTCTTTAAATGCATGGGCAATGCAACAGGGTACATATCTGAGTGCATAAAGGGTTTTATGAGCTTTACTTTCTCACAGAAGACCAATTTTTAGCTCTAAATTATTATTATTATTACATTTTTTCAGTTAAAAATGCAGACTAACATGCATGGAGCAATCATATGGTCGTTTTTTGGGAACATGGAAACTAAACCAAGAAGGGGACATTCAAATGAACCAATCCAACAAAGGTCTGATTTGTCACAATGTATAAAAATGATTCAGCAATATCTAGTTTAAGACCTAGGAATGTTACTTGTGTTGTTGATTGGTTTATCCCAGTCTAGTGGAGTCTATATGATGGCTGTTTGACCTCACAAGAAGGAAGTGTGTGTGTAAGAATCACAGGAGAAGTTACACACACACACACACAGAGTCGGATTCACCTCTACTGCCCGTGGCCCTCGCTAGGCAGTCAGGGAGATCTGTCCTAGGTGAACAGCTTTCTGAGGTCAGAGGTCAAAGGTTGCAGATGGACTTCATAACAAATGATCCAGATGTGTCTGGGTGTGGAAGGGTCACATTTGGGAGTGGGGGCGTACAAACCCAGAGACACCCGGAGCTGAAAGGAGGAGTTAATCGACGTTTAAAAACAGTACAATCCATTTCACACTGATTATTACATTTGAACAGAACTTAAACTCTATTGATGAATGGTCAATTGACCTACGCCCCCTAAACTCACTCGGACAAACAGTCAGCATTCGGGGACAGGCGCTATGGCACATTAAGAGACATTTCACAGGAGGCAATTGGTGATTTTCAGGGGACAGAAAGATTATATATCATCTCGAAGTCACCTAAAGGGCCTTAACTATGCATTGGAGGGTTGTATTAATAATTTTATTGTTGAGAAGGTCGATGAAAAGCGTCAGCTCCAGGCAAAAATGTCCAGGTCAAAGTGTAAATGTGATAAACCGCATATCGTTGCCATCACCGTTTGGTGCTACAGTATTTACATGAATCATTCAGCACAACATTGTTAACATTTGTTATCTCGGTTATTTACAGATACGTTAATGAAGCTAAGTTAATCTTTTCTAATGTTAAGGCCCATACACACCGGGACGAATATCAGCGCGCGTTTTCAACGCGTTTTTTGTGTTCACACCCAAGCGTTTTTCGCTGACGATAAGCTGAGTGAACATGTAAATTCATTCCTTGACATTAGATGGCGCTTAATGTAAAACAGAAATAATAATAGAATACTATACTAGGGTGATCATATTCATGTCTCAATGTTTTATTATGACAGATAGAAAAAAATGAATGAAATAATGATAGAAATAGCCTAATGTCTTCTGTATTAGAAAAATAAATATATAAATAATAATAAATTACTAAAAGAAATGCCTCCAAATGTAACAAAAATAGCTCTCACAAACTTACAAAAACGAACTAACAAAATCTATTTATATCTTTAGTTTTCATCCTCTTTATCTTGTTTTTCTTCCTCATCCACCTTGTTTGCCCATCTATATTTTGCTGTAGAACTGATCTTCCCCAGCAGTTTTTGTTTGAAAACCAGGACATTTTCATCACTTAAAAACAGTCAGGACAGGACGTGGAAACAGGACCTGTGTAACGCAAAGTTGAGATGTTGCCCAGAGATAAAAACATAGCACTAGTTGTCGGATGTACAGATGCACGAGAGACGAGAGTTGTCGTATTTCCCCGCGTTTAATAAAACCACTCAAACGTCACACTCGTCCTCCTCATGATACATGGGGATCGAGCGAGAAAAAAAACACAAACATCTGGTCACAATAGAAAAATAAAATAAAGAATACAAAGAGTCGGCAGAGCGGTTATCTCCTCTCCTCACTTGTCAAAATCTGACACTACGCACACTATATGCGCAGTTCTCATCTCAACTCAGATTTCAAAGTGACCGTTTTACACGTCCCGGGAAAACAGGACTGTTGGTCACCCTATACTATACTATTATTACAGAAATACTAATATAAATATTATCTTATAGCTCTTTATGCTCCGAGACCAGCAGCTCAACATTCATCTTGCCCATAGGTATCTTATCTCTTCTTCGCCGTATGTGTGCTCGGCAAGACCTTTTTGTGTTTGAGCGCCCCCAAGTTGTGTTTTACTGTAACTTCAGAAGTACCAGACACGTGAGCAAACCCGCCAATCTCGTTGGTCGGATAGGTTTTGACGTGGCGCGTCAAACCAAAAAAACGAACCCGAGGCGTTTTTTTAAAAATGACGCTTTTACGCGTGGCGTTTTTCGCGTCAGTGTGAACACTCACATTGTTTAGTCACGAGGCGTTAAACGACGACGAATAACGGGCGCGAAATTCGTCCCGGTGTGAACAGGCCTTTAGGCTAACGTTACGTTAGAGATTTGAAGGATAACGTTCAAATACGTTGTTGACTTGACTTAGAACAGATGTGGACATCCTTGTTTAGTTGGTGTTGTGGTCTACCGCATAACTTAATCGCATAACTTTATCCAGAGCAGACACTAATCTCGGTTGAGATGTGGCTTGGGAATGAGTAAAAAAAAAAAAAAAACACACCGTCACCAGCCTCTCAGGAACCTAGTGTCGGAGTTGCATGTACCCCATGCACACCGTTTGACCATTTTAAACTTAAAATGACAAGAAAAAACTAATGAAACCCGACTAACTGCAATGCATTTCAATGGCTGTGGAAGCAGAGAATGTCCGAGTACATTGGGTTAGCTGTGCACTGTGATTGGCTCATCGCGTTTGAGGGCGGGCCTTAGCAATAGGTCAATTACCCCAGACTATCGTTTGATTTAGCATTAGATTTTTTTGATTAAAGCTAAAAAAAACCCCAAAAAAATCATACTAAACACAAACATTTGAACGGTAGTATCACACACATATAAAGTTCGTAGTATTATTATAAATACGGCAGTTATATTATAGTCCTTTTTAACTGTAGGTCAGCCGTCTAAGGTAGATGACCTTAATAAACATATGTGTTTACATCTTGAAAGAGTAATTTCATAAGAGTGTGTGTTTTAACATTTATCCGGGGGTAAAATATTGCTCTAAAGAATTTTATTGTAAGTGCATTGCTGTACATTTGATTACTGTACATTTTACATATTGTACATTTGATTACTGATCGTCAGAACATGTCAAAATAATTTTTGCGCAATCCCAGAAGCCCTGAACTGACCTGAGGGGGGAGGTTGTGTGTGTATGGTCTGATGACAAGTATTGGTCAGGGTGTCCAGGCCCCTAACAGTTACACTGCTGCTTGGTCTGTGCGGCAGAGCCCCGGGGCTGTCTGAGCTGCCGCAGGGACGCGTCACCGTACTGGATCCCAGAACCCATCCGCTCCGGGTCCAACTCGCCTGTACGGGCACAAACGCAACATTTAACCCTATAAAGCCTACTGTACACATCATTAAAGGCTTCCCAATTATAAACAAGACCAAAAAAACTAGTCTGTCATCTGATTCATAAAAACTAGTTTTAAAGCCTTAAAGTATAATTCTAAAGCCGCTGACCTTCAGCCCTTTTTCACAAATCTTTACTATTTTTATGAAGTAAATGTAATAACTTTTATATTGTTAGTAATATTTCAAGATAAACACTAACAGCACTGAAGCAACTTGGTTGATTATCTAAACTGATTTTTTTTTTAAATAATAATGTTAAACTAGATCAAATATAATACATTAGGCCTTTGAGGAACTTTTATCTCTCAGTCATCATTTAATTGTATTGAATTTTGTTTTGGAACCCCTTTTTTTTTTTTTTATTTCTTACGCTCGCTTGATGGGGTTTTTGCCGAAAAAAAAAAAAATAAAGTTAACGTGAATAATTCGAGATTGAAACTCATTTTCTCAATTTAATTTAACTCAAGTGACTAATTAGCAATTTCCGTTGGCGTTTTATCTACTCTTGGTTACCAATACCACAATAATCTGCTCGAACAACGTGAAACACACGCAATTCGCTTTTTTTTCTAACAAACTTTAAAAGATTCACTTTTTGCTTTTTGAAACCAAGCTATTGATTTAAATTACAATCAGAATTAATTTTTTGGTCATATAAATATCACAAACAACATCAAAATGCATATTTACTTAGTTTGTGTTTCTGAATAAAACTACTTCAGTTGTTGTGGTGCTGATTCACATTATTATTATTATTATTATTGTGCAGAGTGATTAAATGCTTTTTAAATAATTGCAAAAAGCTTCCTTGGTCAAAAAAACAAAAAAACAAAACCTATCACAAAAGCCTAAATTTCACTAGCAATCATTTCACTAATCATCTCATTAGCACATGAGAATGTGTGAACAAGTACTGTTCAGGTGAAATAACTCAATCATTCTGATTGGATTATAAGTGCAGACTGATTGCTATAAAAGGAGGGAAGAAGAGCTTCCAATTATGGAGTTGTGTTAGTAATGGTTCCCTCCAAAGAAAGAGGAGTAGCCATCATCACTTTGCATCAAAATGGCTCACATGCAAGGAAATTGCTGCAAAGAACCATTTACTGGATTATCAGGAACTTTAACGAGAGAGGTTTAACTGCAGTGCACTGACTGCACACACATGCAATTAATATATATATATATATATATATATATATATATATTTTTTTTTTTTTTTTTTTTTTGACTGATTATCATTTCATATGTCAGGCTTTGCAGAGTTAAACTTTATTTCTTTCACTGTGACTAAAGCTCATCAAAAGCATTCTGTCAGTAAATGAATAGCACATTTAACTCTTACCTGACTCAATCTTGTTGAGGATGTTGCGAGCACATTTGAGAAAGGCTTCCTCTACGTTTTCCCCTGTCAAAGCACTCGTCTCCAAAAACATCAGCTCTGGACACAGTCAGATGAACACATCAAAATCAACCCTCTGATCATGCGGCAAAAGCTTTAGTGTTGTAAAGCTCCATATGGACAGCAGTTATCAGGCTTGCTAAGCATCAGTTTCATTAACCCTTTATTACCTGCCATAGAACAGTTCCACCAGAGTATATTTTTTTGAGCATTTTCATATGCCATACATCAAAATAATCCTTACTTTCCCAACTTGAAGGCTATGTTTGTAATAAATCAATAGTACCTAGATAAATATCTCAAAAGTGCAATAAACAAAAAGAAAAGCAATTAAAAAAAAAAATTCTACATATTTTATTCAATACAAAAAAAATGATAAATGTCAACCTCAAACTTGTCATGTGAAAAACGTGCATAAAACAGTTTAAAACTATACAGAATTGATTTGAACTGTTTACATCAATTAGTTTTTAAGATACACTCATTCAAAAAAAGGGGGTAAAAATGCCATGTAAAATATTCAATTACATCTGTGGTCAAACAGATAACATTTTGCTTTTCAATATTGATTGAACATTGAATTGGTTAGAATATAAATTAAATAGACCTTGTCAGAATAATTCATAATAAAATAAATATAACATAAATAAATAAAGGCGATGAGCCATCGGAAGACATAACTATCAATTGCAGATCTACAGAACATGTGTGCAAAGACATGCAATGCATTTCTGTGTGTGTGTTTTTTGGAAACGCATATTACAGACTCATTAGAGGGTGAAAACCATATCATAGTGCACCGAACGTGATACATCAATGCGCCATCGGAAGGCGTAACCATCAATCGCAGACCTACAGATCATGTGTGCAAAGACGTGCAATGCATTTTTCTGATTTTTTTGAGAAACACATTTTACGCAATTTGTACAGACTCATTAGAGGGTGAAAACAACGCAACATGAGCATGTTGGAGGCTTGATCTGATCATGTTACATCTCTGGTTTTGTATGCAAAAAGAATGATTGAGCTAGCCGTTTGGTTTCAGTTTCTATAGGCTGTTAAACAGACACGGTTTTAAAGGGTTAAAAGGCACAATAAGTAGTTTTTCACCACAAGAGGGCGCAGTTTCCAAAAATAACAAAGGCGTCGGTTGATGACGCATTGATGAGCTGAATGATGGGACTTGCTGTCAAGCTGATGGATCTAATAATGTTTATGGATGAGTTCAAACATTCATGTTTTTTAACATTACAGTGGGATGAAGCAGGTCGCGATTGCTAAAGAGACAGATATCCCACGCGAGTCCCGCGGATATAAAGGAATAAGGACCTTTAATTCTACTGAACTACCCGCAAGTGCTGGATTACTCACACAGGTCAGTTTATTAGACAAATTAAACTTGTGAGGGAACGCAGCACCATTTCACTTGGTCTAGAGTTACACTATCGCACTAAACAGCATTTAAATGTGTGTTGAAAATTATAATGTTATTCTACGTGTTAGTTTGTTTGCTATACAAAACTAGCATCAAGCTAGATCAACATTACAATAACAAACTGACCATATTCTAATATTGTAACATTTCATCATGTTGAGCTAACATACAGTATGTACATTTGCTCACCTGTCTAATAAAGCTGTCAAGTCGTGACTCGTTAAGCTCGGTCAAGTCCAAGTTAGTCGCGGACGTGGAGCTCTCAGCATCTCAAAAACGCCGCGCTGATATTGATCGTCATTTTAGTTCTCCTTGTTTGTCCCAAAGTCTGCATGCCATGGTCTATGTTTGAAAGAAACAAGAACTGCGTGCCGCTAAACGTTACGCACAACGCAGTTGTCCATGTCTGTCGCCATGGTTACGTCATGGCTATGGCAGTATGAACGGAAACCGAGGATATTGCGTCATTGACAGGCGACATTTTTTTCCGGGACGGCCACTTATTTAAAATTGGAATTTCTCTGAAATAAAAAAATCTTTGGAGACTTTGGGATATTGTAAGTACACAACTGCAGGAAATATATCATACTGTGCAAGTGGTTTTTGGATATTTTATTACTAAATTCTTACATATTGTACCTTTAAGGGTGCTTTAGTGTAAATAGCATCATCAGCAAGAACCACCTTATGGTCTTTAGACATCTCTCCGGTGACCAATACATAAGAGCTTGTAAATGAGCCGATCATAAAAATCCTGCTGTTTGAACACGCTCACCAACAGAGAGGAAGAGAAGCGCACTCTCTGAAGCGGCGCACATCTGTCTGGACAATTACGAATATAACAAGATCTCTCTAGATACCTTACAAAGAGGAGCCAGAAGCAAGTGAAAATTGATGCGTCACACTGTGAGGCACAAACAGGCAAAATATGAATACTTTCAGACCCCAGTTGGAAAAGTGGTATGCATGAAGAGCAGCTCTTACCGTTCTCCTGGGCAAAACGAGACGCCTCTAGGAAGGTGACCTCACGGTCCGCATCCAGATCCTTCTTATTCCCGCACAGGATGATGACGATGTTGGGGCTGGCAAGCGTCCGTGCGTCCGTCAGCCAGTTAGTTAGAGCATTGTAGGTTTCCCGACTAGAAGACAGATAAAGACACACAAAATTATGATACGCGGTCAAAAACAGCTTTACAGAAAATCATGATGTCAATGTTAATGTAGAATGTCTTAATCTTAATCTTCATGCCTTATAGTCGCATTTAGCAGCGATAATATAGCTTAGATTTTGCGATGATACAAGCAATCAGGCAGTTAAGATATGCTAAATATTATGTATTACCCTACACTAGTATACTGTATGTATGAAGATAAAGTTGGACATACCAAGCGCTGGGCAATAATAAAGTTATATTTCTGCAACAATATAAACAGACGAAATTTGCTATACACTATATAGCTGTAAGTGAGTATACTGAATGTATGCATGTTAAGTAGTATGTACTAAATATATCTAACTTTAAAAAAATTGACAATACAGCAATTTAGCAGTTGAGATTTTCTATTACATACCGTTTAATGAGTTTACAGTATATACAGTATGTACTAGGATGATTTATTATTAATGAACAATTTGTTACTTAAAGGGATACTCCACTTTTTTTGGAAATAGGCTCATTTTACAACTCCCCCAGAGTTAAACAGTTGGGTTGTACGGTTTTCAAATCCATTCAGCCGATTTTCTGATATTTAGAAGAATATCAGTAACCAGACAGTTTCTGGTCTCATTGACTTCCATAGTATATTTTTTTCCTACTATGGAAGTCAATGAGACCAGAAACTGTCCGGTTACTGATATTCTTCTAAATATCATAAAATCGGCTGAATGGATTCGAAAACGGTAAAACTCAACTGTTTAACTCTGGGGGAGTGGTAAAATGAGCCTATTTCCAAAAAAAGTGGAGTATCCCTTTAATTCGAGTTATTCAACATTGCTGTTGCAAATTCTGCTGATTTACAACAGCAGTGATGAATACCTCAAATGAAGTAACAAATTATTAATTAATAATAAATCATAGTTTTTAGTTTACTAATACTGTAAAGTAATTAGTAGGAATCTTGTAATTACGGTAATTACGACTTGGCGTGAACTCACTTAAGTTTGCAATGGATTGTTGTGGGGCTGCACTAAATGTATCCAAATAGTGGTGCTTTGCTTTCAAATGTATAGTTTTTTGCTTTTTTTGCTATAATCTTTAGTACATTACCAGGCATTAAGTTATTAATAACCTTTGGCATTATTTCAGAAATGAATTATTACCTACAATAGTAATCTAAAACAATGCTTAAATAGCTATTGATGAACACTAGCATGTGCAGCTTAGTCCAATGAAAAGTAAAGTGGTTTTCATTTTTAACAACAATTATGAACAGAAATATTTATATCCAGCACATATAATTTGTGCAGATACCAGGAAGTATGTTGGCTTTGAGAGAATGACCAGTTCTGTTCCTAATTCAATATTTACCCTGCTTTCCACCATTTATAATCAGTCCCACAGAAACTGCCTTTGTGAGTGAATAACAGCGAACATTGGTTGAACATACTTCACTGTACTCCACTTCTCAGAAGTCAATGTCTGTGACGACCTTTGAGTGCTTTGAGAAACCATGAGACAAAACATGACTCATAATGCCCTCCACATTTCTCTTCTGTGCCTTCGACAAGCTTTCAGGGAATCTAGTTTTGTTTGAGTCACTGGTCTCCAGGGCAACCATTAGCCTGTGGCCACGGCGACGGGCGAAAGAGAGCGTGTTAAATGTGTTTGAGTGTAAAGCAGTTGAAGTGTCTCCGGTCTGCAGCTGCGGTGATGGCAGTTCAGTGCTGAAGGATGACCCTCATCAAACACACAATCCATCACTGTGTTCATCTCTCTCTCACTGCACTCACGCGCCGTCAAATGGACTCGCCAGAAGATGACATTTTATTACAGTGCTGTCAGTGTTTATTATTTCTCCATTGTCTTTGTCTCTATTACCATGACATCTGCATAGCAACCAATTTAACGTCATAGTCAATCTCTCCATCTGCCTCTGTTTTTAGAAATCCGTTTTATTTTTTACCGCCCATTCACATTTTTCTGGACTTTTTTTATTTTATTTTACGTTTCAGACATTAAAATACACACATGTACCAGCAAAAAACTGTTTGTTAAATACATTTCAATCTTAATTTGATGGCATGTTTTATTAATATCAGATAGAAACTGTGTAGGTAACTATACATTTTAATTTATTCTTCTCCCAGTTGACCAGCCATTTACTTTCAAGTGTTTCGAGAGAAGTGGATGAATTTACGTGCTGTAAATCTGACAGATCTGCAAACTAACATGATCATTATATAAGGTGTTATAAAGAAAAGAAAAAAACACATTCACTTCCACATACAGTATTTGACAATCGTAATATATCAGATGGTTCACAACAAAAAAACAACAGTGTTTTAAAAGTTCAACAAAAATAAAATTAGGGCCCTAAAATAATAATAAAAAATTCCCCTCTCAAATATTCCTTTATTTTTCCAAATTTTACTTTTCTGGATTTCATTTCAATGGTTTAACTGATTTTAAATTGGTCAAAAAGCATGTCTAGTCAATTGAATTCATAAAACATTAAAAGCTTAATTTTTTTAATTACGGCCCTATATGTTTTTTCTCATAGACATTCTGTGCTGTGTTATTTTTTCTGGATGAATGATTTAATACAAATTTGTGAACATTTAGAATAAATAAATAAATAATTAAAGAAGCTGCGGTGTGCGACCCCCTTTATAAATTCCATTTGTATGACTGAATTTCTTTATTCTGCATCACAGAAATCATCATAGTTCAGTATAGTTAAAAATCCTTTCATTCCACTACAAAATGTGTTGTTGCGGTCGGGTGATCCCGCTTAGACGGCCTTACCTTGTGATGTCATAAACGAGAAGAGCCCCTGCTGCACCACGGTAGTAACTGCGGGTCACTGACCTGTAAGACACAAGCAGTGAATGACTTCCACCATTCAGAGTCAGCATACAGCAGTAAGGACATCCTAACAAACCAATCACAGGCAAGTACCTGAAGCGCTCCTGCCCAGCCGTGTCCCAGATCTGCAGTTTCACCGTTTTTCCGCCAACGTTGACAACCCTGGAGCCAAACTCAACACCAATGGTGTGGTTAGAGTCCTGTTTGACTGTGACAGAAGATGCTCAGTAAGAAGCAGATATGATGGACTGCTTAAAGAGTTCATTTCATACAGTTTGGATGCCAGATATTTTATTTTTTTCCCCCAATTTAATATTTCGTGACCAATGCATTGTTTTCTGTCGTGCCTTCAAGACTTTAAAGTAAATGTCCTCCTTGCATGTGAAATAAGATACAGCACTTTCATGCTCTTACTCACAGGCTGTGGGTTTGCTCCGCTGTCAGATCAAATATAGTTTAAGCGCCCCCATCCTTCAATAACAGCCTCTTTGAAAAGCCAGTTTTACATTGTGTTCACAAAAAGATCCATGCTGAAATGAGCTGTTCTAATATAATTAGACTGAAATTATGTGATAAAAATAAATTCGCCTTTGTGTATAACTGAATAACTGCATATTATGACGTTCATATTAAACATAACTGAATATTATGACGTTCATGACTTTGTAGGAATGCACAATAGATCGGTCACCATATCGGTATTAGCCGATGTTCATTTTTAATGTTATTTGGCCGATAAATAATCTACTTGAGATTCACACTGTTCACCAAGATGCTTTGAATTGCTTGATATTCCTTCCTTGATTGGACTCACTTCAAAAAAGAAAATACAGTTAAGTGCAACGTGCTGCACATGTCTGTCATATAGGCTACATAAAATTACAATGAGAACATTACAATTGTATGCTACAGACATGGTTTTTGATGGGGAGACTAATTGTTGTAGTCAGGCTCTCAAAAAATGCTATAAAAATGTGGATTTAAATTGATTGACCAATATATCGGTTCTGATGTTTATTCTCTCTAATTTATTGTAATGCAACTTACCCAATCACAAAGTGCATAAAAAAATAAATAAAAAAACAGAGCAACAATAAAGAGGGATCCAAAAGTTCCCATCACCACAAGTGTTTTCATTGTTCCCCTGGTTTTTTGTTGTTTTTTTCATGCACTTTGTGATTGGGTAAAGTTGCAATACAATACATTGGAGAGAATAAACATGCACAAATAAACATCCAAAAATCGACCAAAACTGATGAATATCAAAAGGAAATGAGCTCTGAAACGCAGTGTTTTTTCATTGCAAATTGAGATTTACTTTAAAATATCAAGTCAAATTTGATTTGATTGAGGACACAAACTCTTCCTAAAGTCAATGAATATTGAATTTTCATATTAAAACACATTCACTTGTTTCTGTCTTGGAAAACAATTTCCAAGCCATTCATAATTCATTCAATGTCAAAGACATACTTTTCAGTCTCTTTTCTTCATTCACTCTGTAAATTAAGATTGGCATTGGAATTTTAAAGCTTACTGACATGATTTTCATTCATTACTTAACATGCCCACGTTTCAAAAGCATGTAAAGCTACTCTGGTTTCCAAAGAATTAACATTCAAGGCCACCTTTCTCTCTGCTTAAATGCTTTGCAAATTAAAGGTCATGTTTTTAATTCAAGTCTTTGTGAGAGGGAGACATTAATATGGGCTTACACTTGTTCTCTATGAACTGGTGAAGGAGGCATGATTTTCCAGTCCCAGCGCTGCCAATCACCAGGAACTTAAACAGAAAATCTGAAACCAAGAGGGGGAGAAAAAGAAAGATAATCAATATCACTGTTGTGTTGCACTGAGAACATGTTTAAAAGGCTGATTTAGATGTTGTTTAGAGCGCTGAAGCCATCCGGATATCCTTAATTCAATATTTCCTTCAAAAGTTCAATCCAATGTCAATAAAATAGTGTCAACTAAATTGCAAAGAAATGCATGCAAATCCTTACTGAAGACACAATTGACATGATAGCAATAGGCACATGGACTGCAATTACCAACCAAACAAAAACGTATTCTTTCCATGAGTGTTGTTGCAAGTCGCTCTCTCGCTGATAGTCTAAAGATTTAATTACTTAATACAATTTATCATCATGCAAAAAAAAAAAAAAACAAACAGAAAGCTCAAGCTTTTGTGTTAGGTTATGTTGCAGTGATAAATAATGGTAGAATTGTTTGTTATGACCCCAAGATCCACCAATCAGAGAGGTCCTCAAATCTCAATAGATTTTTTGAATGGTTAAAATGAGTGGAGAATGTGCGTAGTGCAGAAGTTCAGCGAGGTCAGAGTGGGTCACGACCGCGGCCGCAGGGTTCAGCAGCTGATCAGTGCGAGACAAGAACAGTCCTAAAAGCCCTTTGTGTTGCAAGAGGACACAGAGAGAGAACTATTTGCATGTGTGGGTATGACATGCACAGCCAGAACAGCTGGAACAGAGGAGGGTTTCAGGAGCGGATTCAGTGTTACAGGAGGAGGATGTATGGAAATGTCTATGAATCATAACTAAACAGCATGAATATTCTCACTGATGATATTCTCACAAGCATGTCAACCTCAACTGTCGACAAAGGCAGCATCACCACAGTCATGGACATACTTTTTTATTTCTACAGTCAACAAAACACTACACATACATTAACCCTTATGCTGCATTAGGGACATTTTTGGTCTTTTGCAGTTTAATTTCTTTGACCATTTTGGCTGTTTTAATGCAAATGGTATGAAATTTGGCAAAATTGTGACTTTTTGGATACATGTAAAAAATGTGATCCCATTTTGCAAAATATGTATAACACACACTGTGTAGATCAAATAGTAACACTCAGCACCATAAAGACCAAAAATGGCCCATTGAAACCCATTAAAACGATGTTTAAATCTGAGGCTGTCGGTAATACATGAAACATGATTTTTGCACAAACATCCTTTCATTTTGAAGCAAAAGCATTATATTTGCATTATATAGTGTATTCCACCAGATGACGTCACTACATATTTATTCCCTATGGGTGGAAATGCACCTTATTTTAGGCAATAGGCAATGTTTAATAGGTGGCCATTTTTGGTCTCTAATGCGCTAAGTGGGATTTTTTGCAAAGTGGGACTGTGATAATCCAAATCTAAAGTTTTCTCTTTGCATTTAGTTTATTGAAAATAATTGAATTTTTGTGTTTTTTCCTCTTATACAAATCGATGGTTTCGCAAACAAAACTGGTATTTAAAGGGTTAAAATCCTGAAATTGAATACATTTTTGGTAGTTATGATGAGGACTGATGCTGGTTAAAAGATTTAACTTGGTAAAAGTGGAAAATAATAATAATATATAATATTTTAGGCAATGTTTAATATGTGGCCATTTTTGGTCCTTAATGCACTCAACGGTGTAAAAATCTAATGCAGCACAAGGGTTAAAAAGACAGCACACAAATCTGAAGCAAAACAGCCCCTTTTTAAAAAGTACATTTAACTCTTTCCCTGCCATTGACAAAATGTTTTGGCAATCCATGCTTTCATTATTATCACTTAGTCTATTATATTTATTATTTTATATCTTCTGAAAGCATTGAATCTCCTGATCAAAAACAAGTCAACACACCTCAGCTTTTAGTTAAAAATTTTGCTTTTTTAATGAAATCTACCCACATTGTGTTGGTTTTTTGCTCTGCTCTTTCTTTTGATACATTGCATTTTCAAATTCTAAAATATTCTGGGGGCCGTGAAAAACAAAAGGCAGGGAAAGAGTCAAAAATAAAAAGTAAATGAATATAAAATTGACTTTTTAAATGGTAGATAGGATTAATTTTTAGGGATGCACGATATATCGGCCACCATATCGGTATCGGCCGATATATGTTCATTTTTAATGTTATTGTTATCGGCCTGGTAAGAAAATGTGGCCGTTATATTAAAGCCGATAAATAATGTATTATTCCCTTGAAATATGATTGAAATCTCTTCAAAATATGAAAATACAGTTCGGTACAACGTGTGCAGTGCAAATCTGTCATATCAGCTATAACACTATAATGAGAACATCATTATAATCGTGTGCTTGGGAAATGTTTTAATTGTGAAACTTGTTTTTGTAATCAGGCTCTCAAAATTATACAAAAATTCGGATTTAAATTTATCGACCGGCGTATCGGTTATCGGCTTTCAAATATAAAGAATTATCGGTTATCGGCAGGGCTGGACTGGGACAAAAAATCAGCCCTGGACACTTCATCCAGACCGGCCCACTATGCACACACACACACGCACACACACACACACACACACACACACACACACACACACACACAAACACACACACACATCTATACGTGCATTAATCTGCATGTAAAATTACTGATTAGATTTTATTTACTATCAGAACCAAGAAAAAAAATATTAAAATAATAAACAAATAAAATGGAAATGATTTTATAAGGCTTTATTGTAAATAACTGGTCTTAATTTATGTGCCGCTTATTATTCTAATAGAATATTCTTAGGCTATACTATATAAACTATATTTCATGATGTTTCACCTCATGAAATATAGTTTATATAGTATACCTATATTTCATTTATACTATATCATTTATATAGTGTATATAGTATATATATATATATATATATATATATATATATATATATAAATCATTGTTAAAGCTATTAGTCAAGAGCAGTGAGTTATTTATCTTTGTCTTTTGTTCACATTTAGCCTATGACACATAAGGCTTCTGCCAGGCACTTTCAGGGATACAAATTGAAAAAAATATATATATATGTGCATATTTATATGCAAAATACTCCTTTCTATAGCTATTTGAAAGGTATGCAAGTATGCAAAATACTCCTTTCTATAGCTATTTTTCAAGTCAACTATGTGCTATTGTCATTAAATGGCTTTCCTGAGGTAACTGTAACGTTCTGTGACATAGGCTAATTGTTCTCCTGCTGTTTTATTAATCTCTTTCCGTTGTTGAAAAGCACTGATTGATATTATTTATGAGGCATATACCGTTTGATAAGTTGTAGGCTATCTATTGTATCTTATCTTTAAATAAAAAGTAACAGATGATCGGTTTACTTGAACTGAGGCGCTAAAGCGACCTGTCACGTTATTTTCTAGCGGCAAAACGGTATTGTCTGAATTTCGTAATAAAATGGACAGAACCAGAGAGCTGAGAATTTTAAATGGCATTTATATCGATCAGTGAGTGGAGGCCTATTACAGCTGGAATATCGTAACATGCTTAAACAAAACAATGCAGAAGGCTACGTGTAGCCTATCATTCTAAATGTCTCACCTCAGCAGTCAGGCGCGCCCTGCTGACATCTTCACTAAAGTCCAGCAAATAATTCATTTATTTTAACACATTTGGTGGCATCTGCCTCAAGTTATTGTCGTTGTCTTGTCGTTTTTTCTCTCTCGACTTCTCGGTCCCCCTTTACGTTTAGAGATGTTACTCTTTTGACATGAATTTCGTTGCACATCATCACATCGCATCACTGCAGTTGTTGTAAAGCGGCCGCTTTTCAAGTCTAGATTTGAACTTGATTCCGATTGGCCATCAGACCTGTTAGTCTCGCAGCTCGCGTCAGCTTCATGCGGCTTCATGAGAGAGAAACATGCCCGGAATTGGACAATATAACAATATATAGAATAGGCTATATTTACAATTAATAATGATTTAAAAACAAAATACATAACGCGCCGGGCCGCCGGCCCAACCAGACCGCGGCCCACCGGGAATGTCCCGGTAGTCCCGATGGCCAGTACATGCCTGGTTATCGGCCAAAATGTTCATGTCGGTGCATCCCTATTAATTTTAATAGATTATTTTCAGTATTGTACACAAACAGCATTCCATCTAATATAAGATGCTGCAGTGTAACTTCAGGCACAGTTTTCACAACATGATCCCATCTACAATGGCTATGTTTACTAGCACAATTGAATTCAGTCCGATTGATAAATCTGAATGTAGCTAGTGTTTACATAAATGCTAAATATGTGATAGGGTTGATGTGCGCGTTTATGTCACTAGCTTCAAATCGGAATTTATTTTTTTACGAACAGATCATTTGGTTGCATGTAAACGTAGCCGGTGCCTTAAAATTATGTTTAGACAGGACAAAAAGGTTTTGGAACAGATCTATCATGAATATTCAGTCATAATGGAAAAAAGGTAAAACACGCAAGGACCTTCAATGGATAAATGACTTCTGCAATCACTCTTTAAGCATAATTAATCATAGTAAATGAAGTGGCCCGGACCCAGACAGTCAGCTAATGGGTGCTATTTCTGGTGCGAGTGTGTGTACTCTGACAACATGACCTTGAGCTGGTCTTCATGGAAAAGCAATTGGCGAAATGTTCACAGTCGGTCTGTACAGATACAGTAGCACCTGCATCAGAAAACATCAGATTTTTGAATGTTTAAGATGAAATTACTTGTCATGTGCAAGATGTACTGTATCAGTTCCCTTTAATGAACTTTAGGGGAAGTGAAAGGGTTTTGAAAAGCGATGTTAAATATTAAAGAGGACTGATTAGCAGGTCCAAATCTAACTAAAAATATGAATAGCCAGTTTAGATGTAGAACAGCACTAGTATGAAATCCAGGTCAAAGGTACTTCAAAGTAATTGCCAACTCCATACTCGGCAACAAGGCAAACTACGTCAAAGAAGATAATCTGGTTAACAAATGACTCATTTCACTTCCTGTAAGAGTGTTTGTTGAAATAATGAAA